AGATTCGTTTTCAATCTGAAACACTGGATCCCCTTTATCCATCGCATCAAGACCGAAAGAAAACATGTCGCAGCAAGTGTCTTCTTTCGGTCTTATTCAATCAACAAAAGATCCCATTCTACTCACAACGATGGAAATGATTAAAGCGCACTTTGTCGTATAAGCCTAGATTCCATATATTTGTATTCCATCGTTGTTATTATGCAACTTGCATAAGAATTATAGACGCTACGCATTAGTTATTTTGTAAAAAAAGAAAATGGATAAAGAGAAGATAAAATCCGCGGATTTCATTTTAGCGTCCCGACTGCATATGACGGCACGTGAGATGGGCTAACCACAGCGGTGCATTAGAGGGCAATCGAAAAAAAGTAAATGTCATAAGCTCCAGTCGTGTCGCATCAATGAGAGATCTTTGCCATACTAATCACCCCATGAAAAATACACTCGTTTGGGTTTTATCCCCAATATTCCACCGCCCCAATTTACTAAGCTGTCTGAAATTGGAACTGGACACTCAAATCCGTGAGAAAACATCTTTTCGGAATTCCGTCTTCCTTTTTGATACTATCAGTAAAACGTGCTTTTTCGGACTTGTGGTGGTAGAACACTTGATTAATTCATGGATTCGTTTATTAAAGTATGAAGTGATAAAAACTGAACCATTCCCAGCATCTGAGACAGACGAAGAGAAACCGAATTTGGCTTCAGTGTTCCTCGTCCACATAATGAACGTGATTTCAGGATGTGCATGAACAAATGTTATTCACTACAAACGAAATATCTCGGACACCTATTTCTGCAGGGTTTGAATTATTTGCTATAGAGTTTGAGAGATTAGCTCCCTGCTGTGTTATGCGGACATCCAAATAGATCGAGCAGTGTTCGGAAATACTAGATGAAAGGAATATGTAAATTAGATGTAAAAACTTAACAGTTCATAACCTTTTTTGGGACATCAGCAACCGTGATCTAATTTAAATTACGTCAGTCGAACCAGCATTACATTTTGATGCAACATTAGGAACCAATAGTCATAGTAGCTTACATATGATGAATAGCCTGTACTATGTCAAGTCCGTTTTTATTCGTCCCTGTAAAACATCTCCTGCGAACTGTTTTCCTTGCTCCCATTAAGACTGTTTATATACGTCCAATAATGATATGAGAAGAACATCGTTATGACGTAAAATTAACCCTTCTCCGGAACCGGACTGATTGCAAAGTAGTGCAAAGCATTATCAATATATGATATATGTGATACCCTAATTTTCAGTCGGTTTTCTTGCATTGCTTACTCATTTTTCTGTCAATCTTCAACGCATCGAGAATGGCGTACGCCTTTGCCATGTAGTCTAGCTTATCCATGATGGCAGTAACGTACCCGTTGGGTTCCAGTGAAAAATTGACACAATGTTTACCGTAGCTTATTCGGAGATTCGTGGTGTTTATCTATTGCAAAATAGTTAAACCTTTCCTGTTTTCATGAACTTCGTGTTATGAAGGGTATCTTTCGTTGTTTCCAATTTACCCAATGAGAACCCATGGATTACTGACAAGGAAACATATAATTCTTTCGTCTCGCCTCCCAGATCAGACAAAATGGCGGCTTGATGCGATTGATTTCATTAATTGTTTGTCTGACATGGACTGAATACTGCGTCCTAGCTACGACGGAACTATCATATATTCGCATTCACGAAAATCTAGTGTGTACCGAAAACAAATTCCAAAGTCATTGCTTGCGATTCTGACATCCTACGCGTCCAGTCCGGACATTACATCCTACCCGATGATGGATGGTTTATCTTCATTTCATCTTCATTTAATTTTTTTGTGTATGCGGTTACCGACATCTATATTTAACCTGGTCATTACAACTATACCACGAGAGCTGTGTAATGCAACTCACAGAAAAACAGTCTTGTTTGTCACATTACATTTTGTTCAAAATTGATGGACATTTTTAGGTGAAGCTTGTGAATCGACTGAAAAAAATAAACAACCAGTTATCAGTCAGTATGAAGTGGGCAGAAATTCCATAATGGTAATGCGAATGCACTGTGCGGTTCTCTTAATGACCACCAAAGGGTAATTGTAGGTGTCAGTGGCTTAAATACAATTGAACCACTTTTAAATCACCTCAGCCTTGAAGATTCCAGTGGTCCTCTTNCTGGAACATAATATGAAGTCCCTATTAAAAGAGGCAGCTGGTTGGATAGCACAACGAAATTGAGTTCTTGAGTGCCCTGATGCTGATTCCCCTATAGGTAGGACAAGGTATGTTTAATTTCAATTATATGTCCCGGCATTTTAAGTGATTTTCGTGCAGCTATATTCTTTGTGGAATACCTGTATTATATGCAAACTAAGGGTTCCATTCCGTGCATAGCGCTTATTATTCACGAAGATAATTCTTTAATTAAAATTCCGGTGGATTGGAAATTTCTGTCTGCAGGTTATGATTTTCACACACTAGGTCAACCTACTAAAACCGCCTTACTTGAGAACGAAACATTGTAGTGAGTATGGAGGAGGATTTGCTTTTGGCGCAGATGTGTGAGAGTGATTACCTGAGCTATCATGCTTTAGAGTTGTGTGAAAGGGGACAAATGAATTGATTATGATTTGAAAATACGTGGCAAAATACGGTATTGAGTAGAATACCGTTTTCGATCGAGCAGAGGCCCACCACAATCCAGGACGAATCAGAGATGGCAACAATCCGGAAATCATTAAAACGTGCTGTGAACAGCACTTTCTCCCAAATTTATGTTTTCCATTTCGAACACTGTAAAACATGCTTCAAATCTGAATCTGGAAAGATGAACAAAGCACAACACAAAAGGTATTTCACTCTCGTTTATTGAAACGTTGATGGCTTAATTGCATCCAACAATGCTTTTTGGTTAGAAATTTGTAGAGCAACCAGAACCGGATAGCCAAGTAGTAGTCTTATTTAACGTTTTCTAGAGAAAATGTATTCGTAACAGTCGGGAAATACGAAAACATTTAATGAAGAGCAATTTGTGCAGCTGTGAACAAACGGTGGTCAAAAAACTCATCCAGAAAAATAGGCCGGGGAAGAAAAAAGGGAAACATTGCACAATCGTGGTATGGATAGATATTTTAGGACCATTCTGTTTTGAGTCCTTATAGTGAAAAGGTTTAGAGTAGCGTTATTGAAATGTTCAATCACTTATAAAACATCCCAAGAATAAATGAACTGAGATATTAGTTGAGTAACACAGAAAATCAGTGGAAAACTGGAAGCTAAAACTGAAGAATACTTTTGTCAAATGAAAGATCGAAGCTCTGACTTCGCATGCAGGTCAAAGTTGATTATCAAGCAAATGTGGAAGGCAGAATAGAACGATAATCGTTTTTTCAAGAAAATTCTAGAAAGTCAGCGGTGCATGTTTCGTAATTCCAGTGTCGATCACAAATAATCGAGGGATGGGAGTTTCAACCCAAATAATAATGAATATTTGAATGTGCCCACTTAGCCTCCAAATGACCGTAACTGTTTCAATGATCGTTGACTGAAAATAATAAAAATTAAAGTCAAACAATTCCAATCTATTTTCAGGGTGTAAACAGAGAAATGGAACTGAATTTTAATAATATTTGAGTATGATGTTTTTTCAGGATGCGGAAGCCACCATGCTCTCAATGGTAATATCCATTAATCGCATACCCTTATCTATGATAAAAATGCTTATTTCATTCGTTTGAGCAATTTCATTTGATACCGTTCATAAGCTAAATTCTTATTTTTTTCTAAATATTCGTCTAATGGGTTACCTTGGTAGAGGCCAGTCTGACGTAGGCTGAGGCAAACAACTCCCAGCAGGAACGTTCAATATTTGAATTCACACGGACGAATGACAACCAGAACGAAACGATTACTCATTAATATCTAGGTCCTTATTCGTTTGCACAGCGAATTCACTAAGTTATTTTCAGTTAAGTTAGCTTGCTGATAAAACATTACATGTATGTATTGAGATAATTCCATATGTATGGTGTGCTAGCACATTGCTCGACGTTTACATTGGTAACTGTCATGCTAAGTGGGCAATAAAACAGCCCTTGAGCGGATACAGCCATGTTAGGTTTGAGTGGCCAATATGCGCTTAGATATACAAATATTTCAGCTAGTGTAGAACTTGTTCCTCACAATAATAATATTCGTTACGCAGTACTGATGACAACAGAACGAAACACACAGATTTTGGTTCTTTGATTCATAAGAGTAACACCTATTTTAATCCATGAATAATAATATACCCAAGAAATAATGTAAGTAAAACAAGTCAATCCATGAGTGCGTACCATTAAACAGACATACATTTACACATGAACAGAAATCACAATAATGCAATCGAAACAAATGAGGTGGAACAAAATGGTTCCTCTTGCGCAAACCTTCTGGAACAGTGTGTTTCGGAGAACAGAAACCTATGCGTTTGTCTGAATGAATGTGTGAGTTAGTGTACCAGTGTGTATGTGTCAGAGTGTGTGCATGCGCATATCTGGAGTACGGTTGTTGGTGAGTGTACCAGCTTTTCTTGACTTCGGTGGTTAGAGAATTTCACTTTTCACAAAGACGATGTGTCAAATGCAAGGAATTGGTTGCATCGTGAATCGAATGCAATGGAAAAGAAAAAGATGCCAGACGAAACAAGTGCAGAACCATTAATGGTCGATTTTTATTCACAATGATTTGTACTGTTATTTCAAGCAATACGGTCGGACATTTACATAGTGGTATACAAACTTGCATTGACATCTTCAGCGAGGAATAAGCGAACACCTGAACGCTTTATCTTCTATACAAAAAATACACGTGGATAAATTCTGAGGTGCTGTTTGTGTTTGATGTAGGCGTGTGTGGGCGCTTATATGTACTTGCTCCCGGTGAACAACAAACTTCGTACCAAGACCTGTGGAATGAGCCTCAACAAGTCTGAAGGAAGACATGCTTCATTTTTCTGTGCTCAAATCCTTGAAGGTCCTAGCTCCACATCTACGGCTGCGTCAGAACCTTCAATCTCCGGTAGCTCATCACACATCCCTTCGAGTACAATATCCGGTAGAGATTGCACCGGACGTCTGGGTTCCAGAACAGGTGCATGTAAAGTGACCAGTTTCGCTGGTTTGTGGACGACAGTATCGGTTGCCGATGGACGCATACTGTATTGAGGTACTTGAAGCGTGGTCATTGGAAATCGGGGATTGGATTTTCCATTAATATTGTGAGGCATATAATTCATCCTTATGCAACAACGAGATTTGAACAACTGCATAGCTTTTGCCCGAAAAGGTGGTCCATTCAAACAGTAGAGTATGAAATGAACCGCAAAATTAGTATACCACAGAGTGTACACAAATCGTTCTATTCCGAAAATAATTGCACTGCGCCGATGTTCATCCTTATCAATCCATTTACCCAAATCCACAGCAAAGTAGATCACATCANGCTTATCATGAAAAACACACTGATCGCGACGAGCATTGTTGTCAAAGCCGATGATTTCTCGGCACTAGTTCTCATCCGAATTGAATCTTTCGACTCATGTCCGTTCAATCGCTTTGGAGGTTTACCTTCCCGACTGGTCGAGTACTCATACGTGATCGCCATTGATCCGATGCTTTGTGGATGTGTAGGTGCCTCGTGTGTCGTACACTGTAGATTGGCTGACAGCTCCTGTTGACGTCGACGTCCAAAATCACGCATTTTCTTCAACTGCCACCCAATGAGGATGTTTGAAGCTAACATGAAGGCGAAAGGAATCACAAGAAGTAGCACTAAATCAATGTAGGGAAATATGCGTTCAGTAAATGGACCACTTCGACATTCTCCATTGGAAGCGGCTGGGTGATGACTGACGCCGTAGTGCATAGTCCAAAAGAAATGTGAATCTAAACAGACCAAGGTCAAAGTTATCACAGTCACCGTATAGGTCGCATTCCGTTTTGTACAAATGTGCTTTGCTTGGAACGGTCGAGTGACCCAAATAGCCCGATCCACGGTGACGGCTACAATCAACCAGACACTGAGGTATGTCAGAGTGTACTGGAGAAAAGGACAAAGACTGCAGGCTAATGCCGAGTGATTACGCACCTCATTTGGAAAAAGGAATGTGTAGTTTATTATATGTATAAGGAGACTGCTCAACAGATAGAGAATATCAACAACGGCCAAGGCAGTCAAATAAATTGCTGTGCTTGATTGGCGAAGACGTTTCGTGCGTAACACAAACACGGTCAAAGTGTTACCAACCACACCAACTAAGAAAATCAGTGTGAGTACGGGGATTGCCAAATTTTTGATTAGTATCACTCCAGACGGTAAACCTGTATGATCATCGATCCTCGTTTGATTTCCATTTCTGAGAATTTCTCTGCTGAAGCTCTCGTTCCGTGAATTGTGCATGTGTGCTGTGGTTTCCGGTTCGTCCAATCTGCAAGGGGAACAACAATGCTATGAGCTGCAAAGTTGCAGACACTGAAACGTTACGGGATTTCTCAACACATGTCTTGTTTAAACGGAGCACTGATAGAGATGAATTACACAGGAGTATATCAAATATAATAATAACAACTACAGCACAACTACCAACAGTAAAATCAACACCACCACCTCCACCAACAAAATGGAGCGGATATTAGAGTGCACTAGAGCTATGTGTGTATACCTGAGTATAAGTGACCAGCCATTCCAATGCATTTCTTTCCCTGTGGCTATAGATATCTCGCTGTAAAAAGAGGCGTAGATTCTTGCAGTTAGTAATCCAAAAGATGTCAATGAATAACGCCACGAGTACTTCATTTTCCTCTTGTTTATTAGATGAATGTTCACGTATTGTGCAACGCCACACTGCTGCAGTGCTTAAATAACAAATTAAGATTGCTGGTACCCCGCGGATGCAGTTATTAATTTTGATTATTGTGTGTTCGATATTCGTTATTTCCAACGAAACTGCCGTAGCTCTATTAGTCTCTTTGGTCTTTCGGTCAACCATTCCCGCCGTTAAATCATTGCATTGGGCGACTATTACCCTCAGGAGCCGAAATCCGCCAAGATACTGGAAAAGGAAAGCACCATACGTTGCGAGTGTTTAAATTACGCTTCCATTTACCATTGGGACAAGTTTACAAAATGGAAACATATTGAACCCTTTTGTTGATGCATATACATAATTAATGTAAATTGTATAATAAAAGAATAACAAAATAGCGCAAACGACTTAACACCGTTTCGAACCCACATCAGAACATTATATGCGTTGAGATCGGCTGAGAAGTTAATCTTGTACGCAGCTTTATCTGCAATTATTGAATTTTACTTTGAGAATTTTCGAAATGTTCAAAAAATACGGATATTGAAAATTTTACCGGCAAATCCATTTGACTTTAGATGATTGGTTACTTGTAATAGTTGCACCACAAAAATGTTATTGTAATCAACTGTACGACTAGACCAAAATATTTATTAGCGCAAACGTTTATAAAATCTGTGAAACCATCACCCAGCAGATGTAAAAATCTCAGTGATAAATTCAGTAAATAATAAGAGGTTGTAAAATCATCCGAAACGCCATGGCGTTTCCACAGACCACATCTATTGTTTATCCTTTTCATTTTAAATGACTCAACAGAGTGTTGAATGAGCTCGCATTCAGAGATACGTTTTCGTACCAGTATATCTCAGTATATATAATATAAATCACTACTACTTGGGAGTAAAATTATCTAGAGGAGAATAAATGAAAGCCACAGTTTCATCATGATACCAGCAATCGGAATCCCAACGATTAGATAATTTTTGTCCACTCATCCGATCATCGAGATTATTCCTAATAGTGTGTGTGTGGAATGGGTCAGATACGCTTTAGTGGATGCATATTTTTTTCGCACACACGGTAGAAGTGGGAGGGTGGTTGTGCAGACGCTTCCGCTGCGGCCAGCTTCCAACAGTTAACTTGTCTCTGTAATCGCCAGGAACTGTTTATGGCGTGTAGAAAGCATCGGCCAAGTCCGCAGTGTTATTTGTTTCAGCTAGGGGTGAAACCGCTGCACTAGTGAGCGAATTATTCGTTTCGGCGTTCAGCCACGCAGGGTGGTGTTCACAAATCCGTTCGAACAATTGCCTGCCCGTGCGGCCTATGTACGTTCTACCAGAGGACATGGTAAAGGAGTCTGCACAGAATGATACCACAGAGTCAGGAACTTGATCCTTCAGCAGGAAATACACAAAAGGCCTAGACGTGAACAACGCATGAAGCTTAGCTGCATAGAAAGTCTTACCGATTGCGTCGGAAAATCTTCTTTGTAAGATCCAAGCTGATGTGTCTCCTTTGAACGGCAAAGATATATTCACGAATTTTTTTCTTAACCACGGTGTTTTACAGAGTTCTTCGTGCACAGAATCATTTTGGTGACTAAATGTTCTAGATACCCGTTGGGTGCTAATATCTGTTTTATAGTACGGAGCTCTTCATCTATCATATCCTCACAACAGACTTTTCTTTCTGTGTCAGCTAGGCAGCAAACCAGGTTCCTTTCTAACTTAAGCGGCACAAAGCTTCGGGAACCGATGTAGTGGTCTTTATAAGTTGCCTTTCTATGCACCGAAAGCTGCAGGGAACCATCTGATCGGTGAACGATGCAGACATCTAGAAACGGCAATTTGTTATAACACTCCATTTGTAAATTAAATGTTACATCAATATGCACAGTTTGAACCTGTTTATTAGTTTTGTTGTGTTCCATTTTCCGTTGATCACAATAAATATCCTCTAAGTTCCACGTGTATGGTACACAGTCTTCAGTGGATGACTGTGATTGAGTGTTTTCAAGTTTCGCTATGAATAAGTCTGTTTAAAGCGGTCGAAGCGGAGATTTCTTGGTCACGCCATCCTTTTTTCGTTAGACCTTATCGTTTAAATTGAACTGAACATTACACGTGCAGAAATAAAGCAATTGTTTTAGTCCTCCAAAAGTATACCAAGCTCTATATTATTAGTCTGTACATTACAGGTATTCAATCATTTTGCTGATGAGAACATTGGTGAACAACGAGCCTACGTCCAGCTGTAGCATTATTCGATCGACCGAATTTATATCACGAATGCTGTTCATAATAAAAAACGTAACTTAGACATTGTGTTTTACCAAACCAACTCTTTCTCTCTCCGTTCCTTACTCTTTTTAGACAATATGGAATCTTTTTTGTTTCTGAAGGTGTCGTAATCGTCTGATCTATTCCCCTGATCACTAGTTCATTTGTTTTTAGCTAGTGATTCTGATGCTGTACGCAAGCATTCACTTAGGTTTGAAACTTTGGAACTCCAATAATAAAGAGGGATTCAGGTCAGACATGTGCCTATAAGTTTTGAAATCACACCTAAGTGGTGTGTTCCATGTTTCATTCGGGTAAGAGCCGTTGGTCCCAGATATAATATAACATTTGTAACAGCATTTTGTCCGAATTTATGTTTGACAGATTGTGAACATGTTGCTTAGGGTTGNCCCCCCCCCCCCGGTTTGAAGCGATTACGCAAAGGACTTAACATGGTTTAGCTTTGTTTCAGATGTTTAGAAACAATAGACCGGGCGTACTCTAAACTAAAGTTTATTTCACTTCATTTTTTATTTATTGAATATACACGTGTACGATTAACTTTCGGGAAAGGGGCTGCAGTAATGCAACGGTTGCCCGGGGAATTACAGAAATAGGGGAGACGGACTGCGGGGGAACAGTTTGAACAAGGAACTNAGGAACTCCGGGTCAAAATTTGGTGACCTAACCATTTGGTCTTCACCGCCCTCATCAAAAGATTGTTTTGCTATTGGTGAGAGATTATTCTGCACACGCTCAAATGTAACACAATTACGCTTTAAATTCATAAGATGGTTTAACACCGTATCTCGCTCATTAGGAGCCTAACATCTTACTTTCACATTGGCAATGTTCAAACGATTTCTCCTCAAAAATGTCCAATAATGCCTTGGATACTCTGAACTGATAGCACAACCATCAGTAAACCGAATTCGATAATCTTCCAGAGCCAGTTCTTATGGATATATAATAAAATATATATTGAGATGTATTGGCATGAATACAAATATCTGAAAACGAGTTTATTTGAAATTTGCTGTGTGGCACCTTTGCGTCGATTAAAACAGGCTTTCTCGTTTCGGTAAGCTCCGAGATAGGTTTCCTTTCCCTTGCAGCTCATTAATGGTGCACAGCGGTAGACTTATTCTTATAAATGAACTGAGTACTTCTCGCATCGGACTGTTGGTTTATATCACAAAACCAACCAACTGGCATTACAAATGAGATCTTAGATAGGTCCAGATGGACGAACTTCTTCAATGTAACTTGTTCTCAAGTTGGTAGTGCTTTCTGGGGTTGCCGCGTTGATCAATGTTACTGGCGATTCATGTAAACACATAGCTCCAGTTGGATGTGAACTGGTCTTTTTCAACAGAACTACCTCCAATAAGCTGTTACTGGAGCCTGACTCGCTGATTGAATCCGTGTGTTAATTAGGCTGTACTTTAGATATTTGTGCACCAGTTGTAATTCGCTTCAAATAGTAAAAATAGGTAAATATACCTTGTGATAATTGTGCAACCTCAACGATTTTCTGCTGATAAAGTCTGGGCGATTCATTTTACCCCTGATGTGATCGGACTTTCATTTGAATGTTTGGGTAAGCTGCACTTAACCGGTACTAAAATATGCAATAACGAAACGAAGGACCTTATTATCTTTGGGGATCGTAATGTTTCACACTAAAGAACAGATCAATCATTAGTAATGAGGCACAGTCAAAATAATATCAGTAATTATGTAGTTTATCTCCAAAAGTACCCGAATCTGGTCAAGTTCGGAAGCTATTCTATAATGCACAATACGGTCGGTCACAGGAAATAAACCGTATATGATGTACTTGGTCGAATTGAGATAATGACTCTATCGAATGACAATTCGAAATACTTCATTTAAAATCACTTGGAATTTCATCCGTGATCGTCTGTTCGCCCAACCTTGAATTTGGTTGGAAACGTCATTGTGCGCCAATGAGGTGGCTTCAGTGCAAGTATTCTGCTTTTATCCCTTCGTTCATATATGTTAAGTTCGATAATCCCATTTCGCGTTTAAACTAAAATTAATTGAGTGTATGGGGGGTGTACTGTTGTCCATTCTAGATGACTGATCTCTGAACTGTTGTGGGGTCATGATGTGACTCTGCCTTCGTTTCTTTTTGAATTTTATCAAAGTGTATACATGACGTAGTTTGATGTGGTTGTTCCATGATTCGACTGTCAACCTGCCATGGCTCCGAAAATTCATCGTTTTTTACCGGTTTCGGTCATTAAATTTCACTGCTTTAAATCTAATTGTATGCACTTGTTGGTTTTATTGAGGCAGAATAATCATAACTTTGGCCTGACAGTTGATATTTATGGATCTCTGAGAGTAGCGTTCTCCACAGAATGGATTGGAGTATATTGGCTTGCCTAAGGCTCTGTATCGGACAAGCTGTGTTAGGGTTGTTAGCGAGGATCTACAAACGTCCGCCGGGATTCAGGAGATGAATCACTGCCACTATATGAAGAATCTGGGGAACAGAATTTTGAATAGCTGAAAACCATTGGCCAAGTCCGGATAACAAACGAAGGAGTGTATCGAAGCCTGACGTTCTTTGATCAACTCACTTAACAGGAACATAAAACTGGATTACGTGAAAAAGAACCATATTTCAGTTCGTTTTAGATAAACATGTGCAGTAAATGAATAGACATACAGCAGTACATCTCCACGGGTAATGAAAATGTAATTTCAGTTGATGTTGATTCGTTCACAAACAATGCTTTAAGTTTGGTTAGAGGCGAGAAACGAATTCAGCTCGTTCGAGCTACGGTACCACCACAACTGTTTAAACAGCGTCAACGGCTTATTAATTTAGCAGTATTTTGGTGACAAGTGTTTATCTTGAGTATTTTTGATCATACCTATCCAGGGCTCAGAATATCTAGTGTCGCATAAAATTTGACCAATCGCCTAAGTTGCAGTATACATGTGTCCAGTTACAGGCGAAGGATTCCGGATACATTATGCAA